CTGACGACTCGGGAGGTACAGGGACGTTAGTCTGGCTCTCTATTACATAGCAAGTTTGAAGCTAGCTTGCTCTACATGAGACTTGTCGAAAAGGTAAAAAGATGACGAGAGACAGAGAGAGAAGAGGGTGTAATAGCCATTGGGGGAGGAGGCTAAATGTCCTGTGATTTCTATGGAAACAGAGCTTCGGAAACCCACTGCTGAACACCTCTCTGGTCATCTTCAGAGCCTCATGGCCTGCCCCTCTCCTACCAGCCCTCTTATTAAAACCCTTCAAGACAAAAACAGGAAACAACTGTGTGTCATTAGGACCCAGGAACCCCCAGGAGCTAATTATGGTCATGACAGTACAAACACACAGGTGTCTCAGGGAGCAGTGAGTTGATGCCTCACAGCCAAATAATCCTAAGAGAAAGCAGTGACTCACAGGCAACATGGACCACACAGAGGAGAGGGGAAAGCAGAACCCAAATAACCCACTCACGCAATGTCAGCTGCTACTCAGCCAACTGCAGCTTTGACCCCTCTGCAACTGCCACTACCTGGGTTCCCACCGACTCCTCTTCCAGACTCAGCTGAAACCACACCATCTCTCTCATCTACTTTTCGTCTTTCCCCTGCTCTTCTCCTTCAACTGACTGACTTCTGCCTCATCATGAAGTTCAGGCAGCATTTCCTTTGCAGAATGTCCTCAGGCTGGGCTCACCTCTGTTCACCTCTGGCCCCGTTCACTACAATGACAAGTGAGTGTGTTTCCTAGCCTCTCACTGAGGCCAGAATACAGCACTGCACTGTGACGCTCTCATGCACCCTCACCAAGTTTGTCTTATCATCAGGCCGCAAGGTTTGAATGTGTCACACAGCCCAGTATGTGGACTGCTGCACAAGAGCCTTGAGTCCTGAGAACTTACAAACATGGCCTCAGGCGCAAAGTTCTGAGGCATTAGCTGGGCAGCCTTTTATTACTATAACAAAGTACCTGATACAGAGTACTTATACAGAAACTTTCCTTAAGATCAGCGTCATGAAGGTTCAAAGTTCAGGATCAGTTGACACCATGATAAGGAGCCAGGGTTGGGGTAGGGAGACTGGTACATGAAGACATGGAGGCAGCTTATACTGGAGGAAAGTCCTATGTCGTGGATAGAGAGAAAGGGCACAGGTAGGGCCAGTTGGACTCCTTCTGTGACAGACTTGACAGATGTACCAGAGGAAGCCATAAGGAATAATTTTAAGCTCCCAAATATCTAACTAGGCCCCACCTCCTAAAAGATTCCCCTCCTGAAAGTGCCAAGGCTTTAACCATCTCCTAAAGATTCCATCTCTTCCAACAGTCACGTCAATGGACTAGAGAGACACAAACCACCTTCAGACCACAGCACAGAGCTGTCCTGGTCTCTGTGGAAACAGCTCCAAGTGCCTGGCAGTGGCTGAGCACTAACCGTGGGCAGCTTGTGACTGCACGGGCACTGCCATTTGCAGAAGGAGCAGCTGTTAGCAACCTCCAACCAGGGGCTTGCTGACATCTCAGAAGAAGGTCTCCACTGTGCAGACATTTCTAATCCCACAGGAACAACATCTGTGTTATACAATCCAGAATGGCTGTCACTGTAAGCAGTGACCATTGCACGCTTAGCACCTATTAATGAAACTTCTCATCTCCTTAATGGGACGTGAGAAAATGACCCTCTTTTTGGTTTTTTTTTTTTTAAAGTCACTTTAATGCTTGGTAGACAGTGCTTCTTTGTTCATCTGAAGGAGAGCATTTTACCAGAAAGGGGAGAGTGAATCACTGTTAGAAGACAATAAAAAGGAAACAGCTAGCAATCTGGCTCCCCCTCCTCTGTGGATAAGCTGAGCTATAAGTAACACTCAAACCCTGGTCATGCAGGCAATGCTGTGCTGCTTTTCCAGCAGCCCATGCACTGCTGGGTCAGAGAAAAAAGTTCCCTAAGGCATCACATGACCCTCAACTGTAGTATAAGAGGGGAGCATTACATACGAGAGCTAGAGACTGTCAAGACGGCTCAGCTCAGGTGGTCAGGGTGCTTGCCGGCAAGCCTGAGGATCTCAGCTGGCTCCCCAGGTTCCACATGAAATAAATCCACACATACATATATACTAAAGAAGTAAAGCAGATATAATGAAAATTATATTTTATATATATATATATATATATATATATATATATATATATATATATAT